TGGAATAATTCCAAATCTTCAAATATTTCCATTTTTTAATATCTGACACTTCCAACTAAAACCACGATGAATGACGTTCTTAAAACTAAATTATAACCTTAATTTATCACTACTTGAAACTTATTGGTTACTTCAAGCAGCCTCTAAGTTAATATTCAAGTAAGAGCTAGTTACTGGCAAGTTAACTTTACTTGAAGGTAAAAAGACATTATAGTTCGCTAATCTGCTGAGTAACGCTACTTGTAACTTTATTCACAGGTGAAAAGACCGGCCTTAATTTAAGTATTTACTAACGAACCACTTTAAAATGACGCATTTTCAAATATTTATTATATAGACTTGGATTATGCCATTATAATTAAAGTGAAAAACATGTTTTTTCACAAATATATTTTTTATTCTGTAATGTCTTATGAATAAATTTTTATTGTTTATAGTTTATAGTGTTTCCCGTTCATTTCGGTTAACTCCGCATCAAAACTGTCAAATCCTGTATATAAAGTGGGAGAACTGGCAAATGCCTTTCCAACTTCTGTCCCTAATGTAGGACGTATCGTGCGCCAGGAGCTCCGCGCTAATTAGCGCGTTTATTTCACGCATGGTCCAATTCATTGTAGATTTCTGAATTTAAATTTCCGTATCTGTATTTGAAGAATACAGTGTCAGCGAATTTAGGGAGAATAGTTTGAAGCTGATTACAATAGAGCGATAATTATCTATAGATCAATTATCAGAAAGGCTTTTTGCTTATTGGACACATAAAGACGGTTTTCCACTAAACGGACTGTTAAGTTTATGTTTTGTTTGTATTTTATGGAACTTGAAAAACAAAAAAACTGAGACAAACCCAAAACTCTTGTTTTCATTAAGCGGCCTACATTTTGTTCCAGGTTTGTTTTTGTTTTCGGTCATTTTCCCCTGGTTGTCGCGATGTATTTTTTAAGATACATTCAAACTGAAAATACATATAAAAGTAGTTTAAAAGATGTATGTTATATCTTAAAAATCTAAAAAGGACAATATTTGGACTTAACCTAGTCTGGCTCTAACACACAGATATACATATATTCTACAAATAAATATACGTACATAAATTTATCCAGTGTTTTAAAATAAATTACTTATCTATAAAAAGTACGTTATTTACTTACCTGTACCAATTTGATACATAATTTAGATTACACAACACGACCGTTTCCAGTACACAGACTCGAGTTTTGTTTTTCGACACGAGTTTGTGTTTTGTTTTTGTTTTGTCCCTTTAGTGGAAAACCTCGATAACGAAATGTAGCGAAAACCGGGCATTACAGATTTACAACATCTGTGCTTTTGGCAGGTAGTATCAGTAGAAATTTGTATGTTTTTAATTTTAATGTATTAAAAATTACCAAAAGATAAGGATTGGCGTAAGTAGGGTTATTACATTAAAAATAATAAACAAAATATCTGACATATACTTATTTTTTCGTAATATTTTGCAAATTAAGATTTTACTATGAAAATCAAAATACATGCTTTAAAACCGTCAACAATTCTGTCTTAATTTAGTAGAAATATTTTCATTCCATCGACGTGAAAAACCTTAGGTTTACCTTCTCATAACTTGACAATTTCTTCTCTGCAGATAATAAATAAAACCCCAAAATGAAAAGAGAAAATCTGATATTCAATGAAATCTATATAAACATAAGGGATGTATCATCCCTAATAAAAATGTCTAAACTGCTTTTTCAATGGTTTAATTCACGATCAAGTATTCTCAATTACAATGTTGCTGTGGTATTGCCACTGTCTATTCGCGTACTGCCCACTGCGCTAGTGTGCCTTCTTCCGCTCGTCCATCCTGATACGCATGTGTATGGACTTAAAGAATGTGTGGTGGGGAGCAGAGGAACACCACTAACATCTATTTTTAATTAATTTCGTAATCCATGTATGGTTCTTTGTTTTTAGTATCCCATGAAATTGTATTTACTTATATATTTGAAATAGTTCAAAGTATGTTGTTTATTATTTAATGTTTTATTTGTGGAGCAGACTGTGAGTGATGTACACCTACACACTACTAATGAGCGTTACAAAGCCATCCTAAAAGGCATTACAAATTAACAATTTATACATTAATTAACACGTTCACGACGATGTATAATAGTCGTCGTGTACCATAGTTGGTACACCAGCATATAAATATTACTTGACTTCTAAATCTGGCTATTTCTGAATGAAAGCTTTTATATATGTGTTTACGGCTATAGAAGTGATTAATAAATCCATCCATCGATGACCCACACTGTCTTTAAATATGAAAATTATTAAAGGGTAAATAACAGAATTAAAAATTAATAAATTTTTTTAGTTTTACTTTTAGAAAAGAAAAATAAACTGATATTTAGCGTAATTAAAGCCTATATAATCTATGCAGTAAAACTTAGTCAACATTTTTAAAAGTAAATACTAACTAAAAAATTAACGAACTTTTTGATTTTATATCAGAACTAAAATTATTGAATAATTTTTTTATTTTTACTTTTAGAAAAGACAAATAAATGGTCCTTTAGCGTAATTGAAACTATGCAGTAAAACTTAATCAAAACTTTTAGAAATATATTCTAATCCTACTTATTAGGTATACACCACCAGTGGTACACGAAGTCCCCAAGACAAAACTTTGCTCTGTATCTCTGTATCCTGTACCACATGTGATACATACAAGAAAAGGTTCTAACTAAGATACAAATTCGAATTTTTTAAAATTAACGTCTTTATTTACCGTAAACACACAATAACTAAACATAACTTAAAAAAATTGTCCCATACTAATATAAAGACAAAAGAATATCGCATTTTTAGTTACAGTTTACACGTGTCTTATTTCAATTGCGCTTCATTGTTGTTTAGCAGCGTAAACTTTATTAAGGTGCGTTTACACAAATACAAGAATTCACTTTAAAAAAAATTAAGATTTTTACATTTTGTCTACAAATATTAGAACAAGTTATTTTCGTACTTTATAAATAAATTTCCCAGCTGAACATTGGTTTTTAGAGTTTTTAAAGATAATCTAAAACAGGTGCAAATTCGTGAAACAAATTCTTTGTGGAAAAATATATTATAACAAGAGGCAAAGAAAATATTTATTTGATAACTCATATAAATTTTTTTAATTAATATCATTTTCTTCACAACTGGACTCTGATTCAGACTCATCACTACTTTCCGTTGTACCTAAATTAACATTAATTGATTCTAGATCAGAAACATCTAATTGCTTATATTTTTCCCAATCAGAAACAATTATATTTTTAGTGTATCTTACATAATCGACCCACTGAGTATCTATAACATTATTTAAGCTTCTGACCAAGTCTGAAATACATCTTTCGGTGACGACTTTGTTGTTAAAATGTTTTCGGCATAAAACCGTTTGCACTGTGACCACACCATCTCTATCGCATTATACTGGCAGTGATATGGAGGAGTTCTTAATATTTTATGCCCATATTCCTCAACCTATATATCTAGGTGAAATTCTTTTCTTGATAGATTTTGATGTACAACTTACAAATAAGATATTTCATACCATTGATTGGATAATTAATGTTTTTTTCCTGCAACCATTTTACCATTTTTTTCTTTTGTCCAACTATAACATGGAAATGGTTCCACGTATCGCGAATATAATCAGAGAAGGATGTTCCAGACTAGTTATAAATTTTGTCTGTAACCATTTTTCAAAATGTTCTGTTTTTATATTATTATGGTAATCCCTGCTTTTTGTTTGACTTTTAAATATAAGGTCGACATTTTTATAAATCCTTCATTGCCACCATGGACAAGTATGTATCGAATTACATCTTCTGTTTTTTTTTTCTTGCAATAACCATCGTTTCATCTTGCCAACTTTTCTGTCACGTCTCATCCATAACTACACGCTTAAAGTTACCTCCAGCTCGATCTCCTTGTTAAAATTTTTTAAAAACGATATTTTTTAACTGAGTCGATGTTCGTCCCAATAAAAACTCTCTGTTGATACTTTTTTTTTAATGCAGAAGCCAACTTTTCGAATCCATGTATTAATTAACATCAGGCATTTCTTCCGAAAATGGTTTATGTAACGATTACATTGTTACATGTTGTTACATCTTATATATAAATTGCCTTAATTACTTAACATTAAAGAATTTACTTTTGTTTTACTTTGGCTTACTTTTTTAAACATTATTTTTACATACTCTATATCAAAATTTGTTATTACCTCTTTGCAAGAGCCTCGCAAATAGATTTGTGTCCCTTAAAATAAAATTAAAGTTTTTGATTGATCACCAAATCGTTTCACCATTTTGTTAAATACTTATAAAAATAAACAGATTTTTAAAAATTTGACAAATTCAAAATTATTTTGATAATTGCCACCCTAACATAATAACATGAAGTAATTAATCTACGTCGTACCAAAATCTAGTAACTTTTCGTTTCTTTTATTTTTCATTTAAACAAAGAAACCGAGACTTTACCTACGTTTATACCTTTATATTTATCCATACTAGGCCAGAGAACCTGAAGGTAGTTAGACGTGACTAGACCATGAACCGTACATGACACCAAGTCGAAGAAAAAAAGAGGTATATTAGAAAGAAAGGAGGGAAATAAAGAGTTTTTAGAAAAGTGGAAAAGTTATAGTAAAAACAAATTACTACCTAGATCCATATTAGGCAGCAACAAGGTAAAGTAAAGACACTTATCTCATTTTATGACACAGGTATGTGCTGAATTGCCTAATATCTATCTAAAAAGAATTAAAAAACCTTAACGCAACCTAAACGAATAAGTAGCCTACTGAAAAGTCAAAATGACAGCCGCGCGAAACTTTGTTTGAATCGTCTATATGTATTCAACTTCCAAATACACGGAAATCAACAAGGTTTTTAGCGCTTGCGTTGCGTTAAAGGGAGAACTTGAATTTTCAGCTTTTCACTTAGTTTTCGCCGTATTTCCAATCCCTCCAAAACAACCGGAGCAACAGCCTGTTGAAATGTTCCCGTACGGAGCTCGTCGTCGTCTGTTATATTTCCAAGAGTATTCACTGAACGAGTCGGTTATATATGAATACAAATGTGCCAATAGCTCGCAGTTTTTTTCATTTTACATGGAGCTCCTCCATAAATATTATACCCCTTTAATTATGGTTATCGGGTTTTTGGGAAACTTTACGTCGTGTTTAGTGCTGATTTCGACTCACTTAAAACTAAGAAGTTCTAGTTATTATTTAGCCGCCTTGTCGTTTGCTGATTCCGGGTATTTGGTTTGCGCTTTCTTGGTATATTGCAGCTCGAAGGACATATTTAATCTGTACGATAAACAAGGATTTTGCCAAATTTGTATATACTTAACGTATGTATTTTCCTTCTTAAGTGTCTGGTTAATAGTTGCTTTTACGATAGAACGTTTTATAGCTGTGCAATACCCTTTAAGAAGATCATACATCTGCACTATTAAGAGAGCTAAAACTATTGTAGGAGTGTTAAGTTTACTGGCTTTTATTGTCTATGTTTTTGCATTCTTCATTACCGATGTAATTGACGATGAATGTCAATTAAAGCCCGAATACAAAGATTTGGTTGAAGTGATAAATTATGTGGATACTGTAATGACACTAATATTACCAGTGGTATTAATTGTGGGGATGAACACCATGATCGCGATAAGTTTATTCAAGTTTAGAAAAACGATGCAAATTCGATTGACTGATGATGGAAGCTCAAAAGATATTGATATGTACCATACAAGTACTTCACAGGTATGTAAATCCTTTATTTTAATTAAAAACCATGCACTTTTTATATGAAAGAGTGAGTCCCGTGTAATTATCTGAATTTTTGATATATTATATAATATGCCAAACTTTTTTTTTGGCTAGTTTTCGATATTCAGGGTCTTAAAACTTAGATTTTTGTATGTTTATAAAAATATTATTTCTACTTATACATATTTAAATCTCCAGCTGAAACTAACAAATATAGGTATCTATATGTTTAATAAAACTTTTCGTAGCTAAAGTGCGATTTAGGCGTTTATGTTAACAGTTTATTAAAAATAAGATAACTGTCAAAGACCATACAGTCTTTTTTTAGATTAACGTCGTGATTTTGAAGTTGTAGATATAAAAATTCTATTCAAAAAATTTAAATTGTATTTTGGAGTGAACGATTCTGCATATAACTGGTTTGATTCATACTTAAATAATAGGTATCAAAAAACAAAAATAAATAATAATATATGTAAAATGAAACTTGTGCTAACTGAGGTGCCACATCTATTACATTTATACTTAGGTGAATGCAAAATGCATTTATTTGCTAATGACACTATAGTTTATATCACGGGTAATGATTTGAATAAATTTGAATAAATGTCTTGAAAAATGAGTAATTGGTTCTGTATTAATAAAATAATGGTCAATATAAATAAATGTAAGCACATGATAATAAAAAACAAACTTCAGGTAAAAGAAGTAATAAATTGTAATATTAAATTTGATGGATTTAATCTTGAACGAGTGAATAGTATGAAATATTTAGGTATCGTAATTGTTGAGAAACTTATACTTTTAGTGAGCACATTGAATATATTAAAAAAAAAAAATATTAAAAAACTAGGATTTGCATACAAGATTAGCAGATCTTTAAGATCATACACTAACCATTTAATATACCGGGTGTTCAAATTAAAGTGTTACAGGTAAATACCGCCGAAAATATGCATTTTATAAAAAAAAGTTTCAGACAAAAGTTTTATAGTTTTTTAGGGGAAACATTTTGGCGAAATTCATTTTTTTATAGCTGACCATAATATGGCCGTATCGAGGTAGATTTTTTATTTCAAAATGGAACCCCATTTTTTTTACATATTCTTAAAGTTCATAAAAAAATAAGAAACTTTTATGGAAAACTATTTTTTTATTGGATTGTTTAATTTTTGAGTAACACCTACTTGAAAACTTTGCTGCGCGAAAAAAAAGTTGGCCATATTATGCAACAACAATTAAATTGAATGTCAGTTAAAAATCTAATAAAATTCGGTGCACCAGTTTTTTTCCATAAATTAATCAACAACATGCTACCAGAATACCTGTCTCTAAATTTAGAATTTTGCCGCAAAATTCATTCTTATAATACAAGACAAAAAGGTTATATTCACATAAATAAAACCTATCTAATGAATACCAAAAATAGCTATATTTGTATTAAGAACGAAAAGTGATTTTGCCGCTTGAGACAGAATGTTGGCCGCGTGACGCGTAGCGGAGCGCGGCAATCTGTCGAAAGCGGCAACGAACTTTTCGACTAAAAATGCCCACAAGATTTTTTTCTACGATCACATTATTTTAAGAAATATATATAAAAACTGAAAATTTGTCATGAGTAGTGTATAATGTAACGTTGGATAATAAAACAAAAAAAAAAACATTAACTACGTACAAATAACTTTAATTAAAAAGTATATAATATCTAAATTAGACCATCAACAAAGCTGCCTTTTCCGCTCGACAAACGACAAAGTTGTCACTTAATGTCAGTTCGCGGAAAACATTAACGGTCAACGGTTGTGTTTCGAAGCGCAAAAGCCTACTTTGGATAGTGATCGTGGAATTACAGTTTATAACAATCATCCAGAAACCTTTAAAACGTGTAGTAACATTAATATTTTTAAGAGAATGATCCAAAAATATATTTTTCTACACCCACACAGATATTAGCTTATCTACGCACAGACTATCAAACGAAAGAGTATGCTATTGCGTTCAACTGAACGAATATATTTTATATCTATTCTAGATGAGGACACTGCAATTCTGAAATTTTATTGTGGGCGATTCGCCGTTCAATTTTAAGACAAATAGCTTCTATAAACATGTGTGATATGTTGTGTCGTTTATGAGATACAGGGTGTTCACTTTTTTGTAATAGGAATACGAGTTCTGACTGTAAGTGAAAGTTACCATAAATTTTCCATAGTGACGCTACTGGTTTCCTAAACTACTAAGAAAGAACATGCTTATCCTAAGCGGTCTTTGGACTTTTAACAATTACTGTCTCAAACATAGAAACTAACGCAGAAAACAAATAAAAAATTTGTATTGTTCCAATTTTGTTGTAGCTGAAATGGCTAATATGCATTTCTTGTATGGTTTAGCCAATAGCAATTCCCTACAGGCTAGACGTATGTATGCCCAGCGTTATCCAAATAACCGCTTACCATGTTCTAAAATATTTACTAAACTGCACCTTCGTTCAAATAATATTACTGGACGACCTAGAACTACGAGAACTGTACAACTAGAAGATCAGGTTCTTCAAATTATTGACGAACATCCAGAAACGAGTTCCTGACAAATTGCTCAACAAGTATATGTCAGTTACAAAACTTTTTGGAATATTGTAAAAGAAGATTTATTGTATTCATATCATGTTCAACGTATTTAAGAGTTGCTACCTACTGACTATCCGCTCCGTATGCAGTATTGCTAATGGATTTTAAGAAAAATAGCAAACAATCCCAATTTTTCTGCCATTGCATTGTTTACAGATGAAACCAACTTCTCAAGACATGCATTACGAATTATCATAATAACCATATGCTACAGTTGTAGTACGATTCTAACACACTTTTTCGGACAATGTTTGGATGGGTATTATCTACGATTATTTATTAGGACCATTTTTCCTTCCGCAATGATTGACTGGTGATCTTCCAGGTATTTCGGAAGATGTACCACCCATAATTAGAAGGCGTATATGGTTTGTTATGTATGATGGTGCTCCTCCACATTTTGCAGCAATCGTACGGGAGTATTTTGATAACGTTTTACCACACCGTTGGATGGGACGAGGATCTCCACGCCCATAGCCCCCAAGGTCACCTGACCACAATCCTCTGGATTTTTGTGTGTGGGGATATTTAAAATCACTCGTTTAGATAAATCCGATCTTAAATTTAGAAGCTCTACAAAACCGCATCATACAAGGCTGTAATGTTATTCGCAACAATCCTGGTCTCTTCGAAAGTATTCGGCAATCCATTAGACGTCGAATGAATGCTTGTATTTTAGCTGGAGGTACACATTTTGAACTATGAAATGTAATACTACTTTTATGTTTATCACAATGTATTGCTTCTATTAAACTAATAAAAAAGTCAACACCCTATATCTCATAAACGACAAAACCTATCACACATGTTTATAAGAGCTTTTCATCTTAAAATTGAACGACGAATCGCCTTCAACAATATTTCAGATTATTTTGGAAACATCCACATTAAAATAAGTTATTTTTGTGTAGAATCGATAATTAATAGCATTTATATTTTTATTTCGTCCAAATTTAGAAATAAATATTAAATTGTAATCAAAGTATATGAAACTAATTTAATTACATAATAAAATTAAAATTCTTAATGTGGCAGTGGAGGTGAGGACACGGCATTAGTCTTTCACACGAGAGGCTCGGGTTGAAATCTAGGCTGGGGACTCAATACATTAATTTTTTTTTGTTTTTTTTTTCATGTTTATTTTATTTTATAAATTAGTAAAACCTAATATATTTTTTAAACTAGTAGATTGTTGTTAGTAGGTCGTAGAAAAAATATACTGTATAACTCTAGTGGATTTTCCAGATCCACTTTTGTTACACAAACTACTATTTAAGTAGGAATATTATAATAGGAATTTAATATTAAATATTTTTCGAAATTAACTATTAAACATTTGTGCCTTTTGTCTGTAAAAATATGTTTAAATATAGAAAAGGTCCTTTTAATCTCTACTGATGTAATAGGACAATAATACTATAATTTGAGAATAAATGAACAAGGCAAACGTAATCTTTAGAAAATTTACCCTCAAAAATTTTCTGTACTTTCATTATTGCTTTGAATCCTTCATTCTTCCCTAAAGTTGAGTCTGTTGAATCGCTTAATTTAAACTTTTTTTTAATGAGTTATTACATCAGGTAAAAAACTGAAATTAACTTTTATAAAAACAAGTTTCTTAGGCACTAGTGGAATTTTTAATACTTTTTGACTTTGTACAGCACATTGTGAATTGCCGTATATATCTAAAATTAATATCTTAATTGCATCAAAATGTTCTTCGTAGAATTAGCTGCTTTAGTCTATGTTCCCCATCAGGTTATGGGTTCCGGGGCAACCCTAACCCTACTCCTACCGTTATTTCCTTGTACAAAACTGCATCCTTAAAAGGGCTTTAAAAATATTTTTTTAACATTCGAAATTAGTTTATTTACCAAGGCATACTCTGTTCTAAAACTTTATGCGACTCAATTCCATGCAGAAGGCAAGTGACATGGATCATATTCGAATAAAATATTGTAAAGTCGTGCCCTACTTTTATCATATACGGTGTTGCGTCAAACAAAAACCCCAAGAATTTCTCTGATGGAATTTGATTTGATAAAAAGGATTCTGATAGAGATTATTAAATAAATCGGGTTACGGTCACATTTTTAGTTTTTTACAACTATTTTGAATCGATTATTTATGATTTTCCTAGTTCAACTTCTTAGAAGGCCCCAATCATAAAATGTACGATATATCGCCACAAGTATCTGTGCTTTAATATCTTCTATTACATTTGTATTTTTTTTTCTTAGTGTAGATTCGTCAGGAACAGTGTGATTGCCAAACTTTTGTAAAATCCCCTTAAGGTACGTTTACATCTGATATTTATTGCATGATATTTATGTCTGACAGTTATTTAGTCAAGTGTAAACACTCAAA